ATACTTGGTCGGACCTTGATATGTTGATAGCTCATGTGTTATATTTACAAAAAAAGACTCCACAACCCTGGAGATTAGATGGTACTCTCTTGAAAAGTCAGACGAATATAGAACATATTAAGAAATTGTCTGAATTATTTTTTGAAGAAAATATATCCGAAGATATATCTAATGAGTATTTATGGTGTTCTTTTAAGGCAGTTATAAGAGGTTATTGGATTAAGTTGGCAAATCAACAGAAAAGAAATAGAGATACTAATCTAGCTGATTTATATATTGAGTTTTATAATGTATCTACGGCCAATAAAATTCATTATTCTTCAGACAGAGCTATCCTTATTAAGGAATGTCAAGATAAGATTAACAAAAATATTTAAGAAATAATAGAACACAATTAACATAAGCTTAATATTAGATTCTAGTATAAGAATAAAAGAGTAGATTCTATGTTGACAAAAAAATTAAAGAAACGTAACTCGGAATTTTTTTTTTTTATAAATTAACTGAAAGTGGTAAAGACATCTTTAAACCAGAGGAGATAGCTAGTAGATTTAGATCTTATTATGCCAATTTACCGTATATACTCGAATATAAGTCGACCCGAATATAAGTCGAGACCCCTAATTTTACCCAAAAAACTGGGAAAACTTATTGACTCGAGTATAAGACTAGAGTGGGAAATGCAGCAGCTACTGGTAAATTTCTAAATAAAATTAGATCCCAAAAAAATATATTAATTGAATATTTATTTACAGTGTGTGTATATAATGAATGCAGTGTGTGTGTGTGTTTGTGTATAATGCAGTGTGTGTGTATGAATGCAGTGTGTGTATGAGTGCATTGTGTGTGTGTGTGTATGAATGCAGTGTGTGTGTGTATATAATGCAGTGTGTGTATGAATACAGTGTGTGTGTGTGAGTGCAGTGTATGTGTGTATATGAGTGCAGTGTGTGTGTGTGTATGAGTGCAGTGTGTGTATTTTATTATATTATTTAATTTTGTATTTATATTTATTTTCGTCCCCCTTTCCTGCTTGTTAGCTGGCCAGGGAGGTGGGCTCTCATTCCCTGATGGTCCAGTGGATGGGCTGTGCAGGAGGGGGGCTGGCAGAGAGCTGTTACTTACCTTCCTGCAGCTCATGTCAGCTCCCTTCTCTCTCCTCTGTTCCGGTCAGCTCCCTTCTCCTCCACTGTAAGTCTCGCGGCCGTGCGGAGCGTTCCCTGCGGCTCTCGCGAGATTTACAGTGGAGCTGACCGGAACGGAGGAGAGAGAAGGGAGCTGACAGGAGCTGCAGGAAAGGTAAGTAACAGCTCTCTGCCAGCCCCCAACAGGACCGCCGGGCTCATTACAATAAAATTATAATAAAATCCTGGTCTGTATTATGGCAATGTAAATTGCCATAATACAGACATTAACTCGAGTATAAGTCGAGTGGGGGTTTTTCAGCACAAAAAATGTGCTGAAAAATGCGACTTATACTCGAGTATATAATATATATATAATCTAAAATCTTATCCCTCAAAAACTGAGATAGAGAACTACCTAAAAAATTCAATCAGCCCCAAACTTATGCCAGCACAGAGCGAAACCTTAAATAAAAATATATCTCCAGAAGAAGTAGAATATGTAATAAATAAACTAGAGAATAGAAAAACCCCAGGCCTGGATGGCTATTCCAACCTTTTCTTTAAAGTCTTTAAATTAAATATTCTCCCGATATTACCAGCTACTTTTAATGAAATTGCAGATAGAGGTCGCGCCTCGTCAGATTTGTGAAGAGCCCACATAATCCCAATTCTTAAGCAAAGTAAACCTCCCGCTGATATAGCCAATTATCGCCCTATCTCTTTACTGAACGTAGATGTTAAACTATATGCTGCTATATTGACGGAAAGAATGAAAAAAAAATACTGCCTTCAATAATACATTCAGACCAGATTGCATTCTTGTTGGGAAGACAGTCATGCAATAACACCCGAAGAGTGATAGGTGTCTTGAATTGGGCTCACAGTTTGGGAACGCCCCTTCTGACCCTGTCGGTGGATGCAGAAAAGGCCTTCGACAGGGTCGGTTGGGGATTTTTGAGAGGTGCTCTTACCCATTTCGGCTTTGATGGATGGATACTGGGGGCAGTGGGAGCAGTGGATTCAATGCCCTCGGCAAGGATAGTGGGCCGAGATATATGCTCAGATTGGTTATCATAAATGGCACTAGGCAGGGCTGCCCACTCTCCCCAGTGTTGTATGTCTTATCTAATGAACCACTTGCTAGTAACATTAGGCATAACACCCCCGATTAAAAGAGCAAAATTGTCGGGTAGAGAATTAAAGATCTGTCTTTATGCAGACAATATACTTATATCCGGCACTAGGCAGGGCTGCCCACTCTCCCCTAATGCAGGAATTCCCAAAATACAGTATAGTTTCTAATTATAGACTAAACATAAATAAAACTATAGCCCTCCCTATTAATATTCAAAGCAATAAGTTACAGTCCATGAGAAGAGATTATGACTTTAGATGGACAGAAAAAGAGTTTACCTATTTGCGTATTATAATAACTGCAGACCCCAGACGGGCCATGGAGACTAACTTTTTAAGTTTATTGAAAGAGACTGATAGCTTACTGAAAGAGTAGAGAGTCCACGAGATCTCCTGGTGGGGTAGGATAAGCACCATAAAGGTGTATTTAATACTTTAATGGGCATACCTATTTCGTATGCTTCCTCTCACGATTTCCACACATTGGCTGAATATGATACAGAGCAGCATCCCAAATTATATCTGGGGAGGTAAAAGACCAAGAATTCATTCTTATACTTTATTAAGAAAGGGATATCATGGCGGTATTGGTTATCCATTAATTTTACAAACATATCAGGCTAACATGATTGTACATGCGAGTAAACTCCAACTAACCGAATTTAAAGAACAAGCATGGTACAGACTAGAAGGCTGTAGATTGAGTTTAGAAAACTTAGAACCGCTCCTTTGGAGGGAAGTAAGTAAGAACACTAAACTCTCTAATACAATAGAACATTCCTCCTTAGTTCTCTTTCAGAGCTTAAAAGAATGGAGAATGATAAAAAAAAAAAAAAGCTAAAAATGTATTTAAAAAATGACAATGTCAGTTTTAAATCTTTAGAATTAATTACGTCTGAAATTGATTTGAAAAATTGGTATAAAAAAAATCAGATTTTCCTATTAAGGACTTATATACAGAACATCAGATGACAAGGTATGATGATTTAAAGAATATCTTAAATCTACCCTCCAAATAGATTTGTACTTACTTACGTATTAAGAGTTTTCTAAGAGATCATATGTTAAGTTTAGAAGGAGACATGGGTATTCTATTTAGAAAAAAATTTTTGGGCGCTATCCTTAAGAAAATTTATTCAGTGGCAATGGAGCTAATAAAATTGAAAGGAGGTCCATAAATTCCTAAGGCTCTATCGAAGTGGGAGAAAGACCTATCAATAAAATATACATTGTTTGAATATATTAGAGACCCATTTAAAAATTACCTATAGATGGTATATGGTCTCAACAAGACTAACCAGGATATCTCAGATAAATCCCCCAAATTGTTGGAGCTGTTTCCAGTTAGAGGGTTCAATGACCCATATCTGGTGGAGTTGTCCAAGAATAAGGATATTTTGGAATGTAGCCTACAATTTAATTAATAAAATAGGAGGGATAATACTTGATCAAAAAGCTGAAATTGCTCTATTACATTTAATTGATAAGGAAGTTACTAGAAAAGCAGTTATCCTAATAATTCATTGTCTTATGGCAACTAAGACCTTAATTGCTAGAAATTGGAAAAAAAACTGATATTCTGAGTAAAGATCGTCTTAAAATCCAATTGTTAAAACAACTAGAGATGGAGAAGGGCTTGATCCTTACTAATATGTATGTTTATTGTAGATATCTGGAATCTTATTCAAACCTTATTGATAAAATTAAATGTTTTTGAGAAATGATCTTTTCCCATCACCTATTAAACTATTAGATATATAAATATTGCACCTCTATATGGGAACAATATAGTTAGATTATGTAAATTGGGCACTATGACCATATAGGTATATCTGCCATTTATACTATGGTGAATTTGTGTGTTTTTGGAATTATCCATTATTGACATACGAATTCGCTATATTATTGATTATAACTGCTGCATACTATTGACTGTTTGACTTTATGTTTTTGGTTAGAAATGGAGAAAGGCTTGAGCCTTCCTGATACATAGGCTAATTGTAGATACCTGGAATTTTACTCAAACCCTTGAGCTATTTAAGCTACTAGATATACAATTAACGAATCTCGTTATGGGAATAACTGTCACATCCTGTTCCTCACTGCGGATCATTCTGGCAATGGCTTCTGGTATCCAGTACTCTTTTTGCTGTCCTTGCTTGGTTTTTCTGGTTTTCTGGTCTATGTCTGGTTTTCTTTGTTGCTGGGTTTCTGGGTTCATTCTTATATTCCATCCCTGGATTTCCCAGTCTCTTGGATTCATTGAAATGTTTGTTTTATGTTGCCACAACCGTTTGTTTTCCACTTTCCCTTTGTTTCAGCCTGGACCTGCAGCAGTGTTTCATGTCTCTGCCCTTTCTTGCAGGTAAGTGCTGTATTGTGGTTTAGTGTGGTTGTTTTAGCAAACATTAGGCAGTGTAGGACCTGCCAGATATGGGGTACATGGCATTGTTGGCAGGCTTATGCAATGTATGATCATATAATGTGACTAAATCCCCATACTTTTCATAATTAATGCTTAGCTATGTTTCCTCTTGTTTTACCTTGTATCTCTTGTCTTGTTTTACTTTGTCTTGTAATCCCAGTCCATATACAGTCCTGTCCAGTCATGCCCATGTTATGTTCTTGTTTTCCTCGTGTCTTGTGTACATGTTCTAGGTTCTGCTTTCTGTCCTGCTCTGGTTCTGGGTTCTCCTAGTTTTGTCTTGTTTTCATGTATGGTGCCTATCTCTAGTCTTGCCCAGTTCTCCTAGTTCTGTCTTGTTTTTATGTATGGTGCCTATCTCTAGTCTTGCCTTGCTCCAGTACTGGTCATCCCTGCTGCAGAGCCTCTCTATTCAGTTCCTGGGAGGTCTGCTTAATTACCTGCTCCTAGTTCCTGGGATACGCATAAGCTGAATCAGGGTTCTGGTATGTGGCTGCACAAACGCTGGTGCTCAACACCAGGGGGTGTGCGGTTACCCTGCACCAGACCCTGCTAATCCACCTCCACACTGTGACTCCTACTCTGAACATCAGATATATTGGGTCCTGGTCCACGCACCGCCGCCCGGACAGTGTCTGGGTCCCCGGCACTGGACCGCCACCCGTGACATTAACACTGTAATAGGATAGAACTTGGACTTTATGACCATATATGTTTGTTTTGTATTATGGTATATTTGTTATGTCTTGGAGTTATGCCCCACAGATTTATAAAAGCTCTTTACTAATGCTAATAAATGTTGCAAACTACGGTTTGAATAATTGTATGCCTTTGGTTCTCTGTATGAACCTTTTGTATCAATTTTTTTTTTTAATTCAATAAAAATCAATATTTAAAAAAACAAAACAATGCATCCCTACTCACACAGACACACAGAAACAACACAATGCATGCCTACACACACACACACACATAGAAACAACACAATGCATGCCTACACACACACAGAGAAACACACAATGCATGCCTACACACACACAAACACACAATGCATGCCTACACACACACAAACACACAATACATGCCTACACACACACACACACACACACAGAAACACACAATGCATGCCTACACACACACTCCATGCTTACTTTACACACCCAGAATGTATCCCTTGCACACAGAAACACAAAATGCTAATTCCCATCTCAATTCCTTGTAATTCACTCTTTATTAAGTAGACCCTATAATCTGCAATTTGATAAGTACGCAGAGATTAATTATCTGTGTTGGACAGAGGGTGTGGTGCATTTTTAAGTAAGTAATTGATAGCTGTGCTACAATGTGTCCCTGGAATGTTTTTTTTTTCAAATGTTGGCAACTGAGGCAGCAATACTAGTGCTTTCCCCTCTCCCACAATCTATTCACTTTGACTACGTCCCTGTTTAGTTCTATTAAAAGGACACTATAGTCGCCAAAACAACTGTAGCTAAAAAAAAAATTTTTTAACTCTTTATTTTTGTTCACATCGCATATGTACATAGTTTAGATTGCATTACAGTGCAATAAGCAGTTGAAACAGAGTTTAAGCAGGATATAGGTTACAACAGCAGCCATTAATGCGTAGCCGCCTAACATCAGTTTGGTATATGCGACGCGTTTTTTTAGGTGTAAGAAATATGAGCTTAACTGTCAACATGAAAAAAGAGATAAAAATAACTGTAAATAATAAACATTACATCCTCTGCATTTATGGCGCTATATGTTGTCGGGTTGCATCATGAGGACTTATGCGCTATGTGTGTGCCAAGCGCTTAAGCAAAGGCTGGTACAAGCGTAGCATTTGTGGCATTAATAGGGGTAAGAGTGTGTGGGGGGGTACTTTTGGTGGTGCTACGGCTTAGCAAGTTTGCCTACGGAGCCAGAGAAATAATAACAGAACTTAATGACATATAACACTTCAGGAGTAAGAAATTCTATAACTGTCAATTATGACATGAAGAAAACAGATAGTTAGTTAGATCAGACGGTGCCAAGCTTGAGGGTCCGCCGACCCCGCCAGTGCACGCCTTGGGACAAATGGAGGGATTTCCTCTACTGCCCGTATTCTTCTGTCCCGTGGTGGTAGGGTTTCCGCTGAGACTTCCAGTGCTTGGAGGAAGGTAGGTGCATCTTGGAGTTGCGAGAGTGGGAACTTCTTGCCACTTTTCTCTGCCACTAGGTGGTGTGGGCCCCATCTGTACAGGATTTCAGCCTCTCTCAGAAGCTTTATAGTGGAGCGGAGTGATTGCCTCCATTGCATGGTTGCTCTTGAAAGGTCCTTGTAGAAGGACAGCTGCGAGCCCTCAAAAGACAGTGAGGGAGATACTCTTGTGGTTCCCAGGACTGCAGGCTTGTCAGAGTCCCTTTGAAATTGCAGGGGCCTCTGTGGGTGCCTTGGCTGCCTTGGGCAATTGATGGCATCGGTCAGTTGTAGCTTGTTGGGCTTGCTTAGGCGTTAACAGTGTGGCTAGCAATCGCCTTATATAGTGAGGCAGTTCATCTGGTGAGATGGATTCAGGTATGCCTCGTATCCTTATATTGCGGGCTTTGGCCCTGTCCTCCAGACTTGCCAGTCGCTGGCTCATTTCGCCACATTTCTTTTGCAGGGTATGGAACGCAGCGTCTGTGGCTGATTGTGCCAAATGTGTACCTCCCAGCTCCCCTTCCACTGCATGGACATGGCCTGTCAGCTTGGCGACATCCTCTCTCACCACTGCTGTGTCAGCTTGGAAAATGGCCTTAAGGTTCTGCAAAAAGGCTTTAACATCTGCCTTAGTCGAGGGAGCAGCATCCCCAAGTCCCACATACCGTGATTGTGTAGGCAGCATGGCTGGTATTGTGCTAGGGAAATCATCCTCTGGTGTGTTCTCAGCTTCCAAAGCTGTGGAGTAGGCCACTGTTGGCACCATCTTGGGCTGCACAGGGTGCTGCGGCTGTCTGAATAAGCTTTCAATATCTCAGCAGCCAATCCCAGGATCTGTTCGCTGCTTTTTGGAGCGGTGCCCCATGTTTCCTGGACCCAGTGGAGCTCGGCTTTGGCTTTGTATGTTCCCAGTGGGTTGGTATATTTGCCGTTTAATCAGCCGGCGACTCGGAGCTTGCTGAGGATGCGACCGCCTCGCATGGGCGCGGGCTCCGTCCCCTCAACTGTAGCTTAAACAGTTTTGGTGTGTATATCTTGCCCCTGCAGTCTTATTGCTTAATTCTCTGCCATTTAGGAGTTAAGTCACTGTTGTTTTTGCAGCCCTACTCACACCTCCCTGCATGTGACTTATACAGTCTTCATAAACAGTCATCTAATGTTTACATTTCCTCTATTGCAAATTTTGTTTAATTGAAAATGTCTAATCTCTAGACATCTGCATTCGTTTTCATACATATACAATTTTGTTGCATTCGTTTACTAAAACGTAAACAAAAGCCCTACATACGAAATATAAACAAAACAAAATGGCAAATGCCGAATGGTTTTTATTTGCATTTCAATCAATAACAGGTTTCAATGAGACTCACAGGTCTCTACTGGCATAGTAATTATTGCAATGAGAGCACAATATGTGCTAAGTATAACTTTGAGTAACGCGTCATGAAAACTGGGCACGCAGGCCTGCAGTAGATGTGGACTCGAAGGTCCTTTGTTTTATCATCTTATGACTGCTTTATATTGGGTAATGTAGTGCTTTAGGTTCAACTATCAGTGGGGAAGAGGTAAGAGCGCATAACCACGTTAGGTCAGGTAATCTGGCATGGTCCGTGCTTTGTATTCTAGCCATACTTAGCTCCTGCCCCCTAGTGGTCCCCGAGGTTAGAGTATGGTTAGCCTCGTTTGTCACTTCGCTCCATCTATAATGCTATGAGTATCTAGTAACGTCACCTGGAGATTGTGAATACTCTGGTGCGTGCATACAGTTATTTCTATTCGTCCCTGTATAGAGGCTGAATTTGGTCTATTGTGGACCCTGTCTCAGTCTTGGGGTGTGGGTCCGTATAGTCTAGCATCAGGTCAACCTTTTCCTTCCACCATCCCCTTGGTGTAATCTAATCCCAGGTGGTCCGGTCAAGGCACTTCTGGGGTTCCTTCTGCTATTTGCTGCGTTCGTATCTATCCATTGTTTACGAGTCTATGACGTTATGCAAATGGTTGGTCTATGTGTTTATCTGTAGTGGTGGCTGTGCTTCTGTGTTCGGTTGGTTTACCCGTCTCCTTACTGTGTTAAGTTCCTACCGTATGTTATGGGTGTCATCCTCATCTCGGGTGGGGGCGGTGTGGTGTCCTAATGTTGCTCTTGTCTATGGTTGTAGGTTTGTCATGAGGTTGCTTCTCCGGCTAGATGTGATCCACATCATGGGATCGTCTCTTCTGGTCTGTGTGGTGGTATATGTGTCTCCTATTTCTGTGTGGGTGTATGGTGGCCTTGTGTGGCATTACCATGTGACTTCCGTAATTCGTTGGGTGGCTCCCGGCTCCGCTCGGGGGTGGGGGGCAGCAACAGGGTGTGAGCAATGGTGTGGTGCACATCTAGTGCGTCGTCTAGTGTTAGTATGCTAAGGGCGGGAAAGGGTGGCGAAGTATGCGCGAGCATCTCGCTGACTAGATTTCCTGTCGCCCTCCTTCCTGCGCTCTAGTTTGTGAAATAAATGTGTACCACAGTCTCCAAAGTTCCACATGTTTGTCGCTTCTCCCAAGCATGTCGGCATATCTTGCCTCGGCTGTGTGGATCTCCTCTACTCTCTGGAGCCACTTGACTTTAGTGGGTGGCTGGGTTTGTTTCCACGTGACCTGGATCAGTGCTTTGGCTGCATTTAGCAGGTGTTGTAGTATCGATCGCTAACGTTACTTCGTTGAAGTGCAAGAGTGCGGCTTCCATGCTAAAGTCCGGTGGTTCTCCTAGGATTGTGGTTATTTCTAGTTTCATCTCTTCCCAGAGTGGTTTGAGCCTGGGGCAGTCCCATCAGATGTGTCGTAACATGCCTGGATGGATTTTGCACCTCCAGCATGAATCTGAGACCCCTGGGAAAATCCTGTGCAGTAGTGATGGAGTTCTGTACCAGTGAGAGATCAACTTAAAGTTAACCTCTTGGTACCTGGTGCTTATTGAACTCTTATGTTACAGTATGAGTATCTGTTCCCACTGGGCTTCCGTGAAAGTTCTGCCTGTTAGTTCTTCCCACTGCCACTTAAAGGCGGTGTTCCTGGAGAGGTCCCCTATGATCAGCTGTTGGTATATGACCGACACTCTGCCTTCCGCCTCAGGGTTAGTCACGCAGAGTTGTTCAAACCATGACATTTTGAATGCATTACCTTTTCATTTAGTTTTGTTCATTTAATAGTCTCCGTGCTGTAGGGGAATGAACCCCCACAGCATGGAAAAATAGCGCTGCCGGCGCAGTGTTATCAGCTCTCTCCTTGCAATATTAATTCCTAACCCCACTCCCATTAAAACCTATGGGGGTCACCATGACTCCAATATTAATAAAAGGGAGGTTAAACCCTCCTGCATGCCCCTACTTGAGGCATGTTGCCTAAACAAATTTAAAACTACTAGTGATTGAACAGCTATTGCTATCCAGTTATTAGTGCAATAAGGGTGGACCTGGCACAGGTTACCCCGTT